GCAGGGTAGTGGCTTAAAGAGTCAAATAGGAAGTCCATTTACCCATCTAATGAATTAGCATTCGTGGCTATTAATGAATTTATCATCATTACATACTGACTGAACTATATAATAGATTTATTATGGTGATGTTCCGTATCTTTAAATATACAAGGATATCTATTGGCAACACTGGTGAGAGTGCAGGAAGAGGGGCTCGATACTATGTTTTGTACCAGGCATCGCTTTATCTGCAGCTCTGTATGTGACACTAAGGCTGCGGTCACATGCACCAGTTGAAGCACAGGAAAGAGGCTATTTCCTCTGGAGGAATTTGACACGCAGTTGTGAAATCACACAGCCCTTTGAAGCTGCGGGAGCCCGTCACTGTGTGATCAGACACAACTGTGGGTGAGTTGTGGGTTTTTTTCCATTTGTTTCCCTTGTGCATAAATGAGCAATCAAGGAATCGCACCTCTGCAATGAGGGCCCCCTATGGAGTATGTGATGATGCGCATACTACAGGGGGGGGAACACAGCATGGAGTTGTGTTGGCCTGATCAGACCAACCCGACAGCATGAGAGCATGCTTGAGTGATCAGACGGGAAAGTCTGCCCATGCCCTGCCTTATCCAGATAACCCTGGACTTTCCCCGGTCTTTTAACTCTGCTTCCATGGCAGAGCAGCACAGGTTGCTGACAACTGTGGGATGCTTCCCAGCTGATGCTGTTTGATCGCTCCCTTTTTTTGTGATTAAACTTTATTGAGAATATAATCAGCTTTACCAAGTAGTATATATCATAACATTATACAACAAGAGCTTGGTGTTTAGTAAAACAGAGTAGCTTAAAACAGCATATTATGTGATAATACCTGAGAGCATACTGTACTGTAATTAATATGTCTATGTATTGTTTGCTAAGCCTAGTGAGTGATAGGGTTAATTATCTAGTGTTGTGGTTGATTTAAACTTTCTTGTGTCAGTTGTGGGTCAGAGGTATAACCATTTGTGGCATATTTGTTTAGAAGGGAATATATGTTGTGTTACCATATATTCCAGTACTGGAGCCCAGATGCGTGTAAATTTAGTGTTTATTGGTGCGGCGTATCTAAAGGAGCGTGTGATTGCAGTCTGGACCAGACTCAAGGAGGTGCTTTTGAACTTGGGGGCTGGGGGCTAAGATATTTGAAAGCACATCTGTATATGATGCTCCTGCATCAGAATTGGAGCAGGGTGCATAAAAATCTATGATTTTTTAAAAATAAGATTTTAAATTTTAAATTAGGTTTTTGGGGGTTTTGTGAAAATGCGTTTTCAGGATTCTAAAGATAGTATTCTAAAGATAGTTTTTAATTAGATACATTATAGCTCAAAAATGGAATATATGTATGTGGTGTTTTTTAAAAAGTTTTGTAAATGAGTTTCAATAATTCATGGATCTGGGGCTCAATGTAATGCTGTACCAGAATCTTCTATAGAGTAGCCTTCAGTCTAGAAGATACCATCACAGAGGCTTAGTTTTGCAGTTCTCATTTTAAATTTTATTTTACTTCATTTATACGCCATTTTTCTCCCCAATGAGAATCCAAAGCGGCTTCCGTTTCTCCATTTTATCCTCAAAACAACGCTGTGAGGTAGGTTAGGCTGAGTTTGTGGCTGTCCCAAATCAATTTGTTCAACCAAAGCAGACAAGAATGTCACCTTGTGGAACTCCTGAAATAAATCCAGCAGATTTCATACCTTCTGCACATTTAGAACTGTAGTAGAAAGTCTTTTTTTTATTCTCCCAGACCTTTTAAGTGATTGGTTTCTGGTTGTATATGTTTTATACATTATCCAGATAGTATTTACATGTAATGACTGTTGTTTTGTCGTTTATTGCTTTTATTGTTTTAATTGTATTGTACAGCACTTTGGGAACTGTAATGTTTAAAAACAGCAGAGGAATAATAAACAAATAAACACAGATAAGCATTATGCTGGTTTCTGGTTGAAGGAAAGAAAACTTCTTTTTCCATCCATCACATTAAGACGTATTCAATACTAGGGGGAATAAGAAAGACAAGTTGACAGTATTTTGAGATTTGAAAAAAGACAGCTGAAATGCTCTTAAAGAATTAAGTGAACACTGCATTAACTTGAAAATGAATTTGCGCTTCAAACAGGAATTGGATCTCAACAGAAATGAACAAGACATTTTAACCACAGACAATCTGATTTGGCAGAAGTTGGCTACCTTTGAAGATTTCTCTTTTATACTTGAACATCAGACTGTAGTGATGCATCTTTGGGGACCTATTGGGGAACTGTTGTGTAACCCTCCCTATAAATGCAACATCTACAGAAAGGTTTCTTCTGGGGCTAAAACCAGTAATGGCAGTCAGCTGTAGTTTTGGGTCATTTATATGGACTGTCAATTTATTATCAGCTTCATCCACAATTTAAGAAAAGAACCTTCATGCAAAAAACCCATGATCAATTCATGTAAGAAAAGCTACAAAGGAAATACTTTGAAATAAATAGATGTTGTACATAGGAAATGCTACATATATTATTTTATAATGGCTTTTAAAAGTACATTTATTGTGACAGCATAACTGAAGTAAGTAGGACACAAGCTTGAGTTCTCTGATATAGGATATCTTGATTGGAAAGCATACTGATATAAAAGATGGAAAGGTGTCCTCTTCTCTGCTTTCCCTAAGTTGCTGTTGATAATTCTCTTATTTGTACACTAAGTATTAAACAAATGCAAGCAAACAGTTCTCCAGAAATACAATACAGTACAAGTAGAGTTGCAATAAAAATGCGGAATGGATTTTCCATTAGGGTCTCAAGGCCCAAATACACTACTCTGGGGATGGAATGAGAGACCACGGAGTGGAATGACAGCTCCAGGGTGTAGCAGGAATGTTCTGTGACTGGAATGAGAGACCATGGAGTGGAATGACAGCCCCAGGGTGTAGCAGAAATGTTCTGTGACTGGAATGAGAGACTCCGGAGTGGAATTACAGCTCCAGGGTGTAGCAGGAGTGTTCAGGGACTGGAATGAAATACCATGGAGTGGAATGACAGCCCCAGGTTGTAGCATGAGTGTAAAGGGACTGGAATGAGAGACCACTGAGTGGGATGGCAGCTCCAGGGTGTAGCAGGAGTGTTCAGGGACTGGAATGAGAGACCACGGAGTGGAAGGACAGTCCCAGGGTTGGGGCCGAGTGGTTCCTCCGCCTCCCTCATTCCCGGGGTGGTGGCCTTCCACTCCTAAGCACAAATTCCACCTCTTGCGTGTGAGGTCATTCTGGCTCCCCCAGCTCTAGTGTGGGGCTCTTTAAAAAGTTATGGCTGCCGCTGCTGCCAGCAGCAATGGCAGCGGGGGCCGAGTGGTTCTTCCGTCTCCCTGAGCCCCGGGGTGTTGGCCTTCCATTCCTAAGTGCAAATTCCGCCTCTCATGCCTCTTGCGTGTGATGTCCAAGCGGCGTTGCCGGTCGGACATCACACACGAGAGGTCATTCTGGCTCTCCCAGCTCGCGTGCAGGGCTCTTAAAAAAGTTATGACTGCCCCCGGCAGCAATGGCGGTGGTCGCGGGGGTTGGGGCCAAGTGGTTCCTCCGCCTCCCTGAGTGGCCTTCCACTCCTAAGCGCAAATTCCGCCTCTCGCGTGTGATGTCCGAGAGGTCATTCTAGCTTCCCCAGATGTCCGAGAGGTCATTCTGGCTCCCCCAGCTCTTGTGAGGGGCTTTTTTAAAAGTTATGGCTCCCGCCGCTGCTGGCGGCAATGGCGATGGCCACGGGCGTGGGGGCCGAGTGGTTCCTCTGCCTCCCTGAGCCCCGAGGTGTTGGCCTTCCACTCCTAAGCGCTAATCCCACCTCTCGCATGTGATGTCTGAGCGAGAGGTCATTCTGGCTCTCCCAGCTCTCGTGGGGCACTTGAAAAAGTTATGGCAGCCACCACTGGCGACACGAATGGCGGCAGATGCGGGAGGTGGGGGCCAAGTGGTTCCCCCGCCTCCCTGAGCCCCGGGGTGGTGGACTTCCACTCCTAAGAGCGAATTCCGCCTGTGTGATGTCTGAGCTCTCGTGAGGGGCTCTTTAAAAAGTTATTTAAAAAGAGGTCATTCTGGCTCCCGCAGTTCTCGTGAGGGGCTCTTTAAAAAGTTATGGCAGCAGCCGTGGGGGGTGCGGGCCGAGTGGTTCCTCCATCTCCTTGAGCCTCGGGGTGGTGGCCTTCCAGTCCTAAGCGCAAATTCCACCTCTCGCGTGTGATGTCACACGCGAGAGGTCATTCTGGCTCCCCCAGCTCTCGTTAGGGGCTCTTTAAAAAGTTATGGCTGCCAGCGGCAGCAAAGTCGGCAGCCGTGGGGGTGGGGACTGAGTGGTTGCTCCGCCTCCCTGAGAGGTGCCTAATCCTGTTGTCTCCCATTGTGGTTGTTCCGCCTCCCTGAGTCAGGTGCCTAATCCCGTTGTCAGATAGGAACTGGCCAAACTCCCTAGAGACAAACTGTGTGCCGTTGTCACTCACCAACACGTCCGGTAGTCCGTGGGTGGAGAACAAGTGGCGCAGCACGTTGATTACGGTGACTGAAGTGGTTGAGTACATGTGAGCAACCTCCAGCCACTTTGAGTACGCATCAACGACTACAAGGAACATTTGTCCCTGAACAGGCCCCGCAAAATCCAGGTGAAGCCTGGACCATGGCTTCCCTGCAGATTCCCAGCGCTGTGGCGTAGTGGTAGGAGGCTCAAGCCTGGCCTGTTGACAGGGCATACACACTTTAACCCATTCTTCTATGTCGGCGTCTAAGCCGGGCCACCAAACATACCCCCGGGCCAGCGCCTTCATGTGGACCATGCCGAAATGGCCCTCATGCAATGATTCCAACAACTTTTCTTGGAGTTTGATGGGCACCACCACCAGGTTTCCCCACAACACACACCTTTCAACACCTAAAGCTCATTTTGGCGTGCCCGGAAAGGTTTGAACTCCGGCTCCACATTTCCTACCGACCACCCCCTCCATACCCAGTTTAAAACACGGGCAAGTACACTGTTTTTAGCTGTCGCAGCAGCAATGTCCATAGAGGAGACTGGGGCCTGAGGCAATTCATCTATAGCTAGCACCATGCTAGCTGGAGCAGGGTCCAAGTCTTGGCCGGGTAGAGGGCAGCGACTGAGGGCGTCCACGTGTCTGATCGCCTTGCCCAGCCTGTGCTCAAAGTCATAATCATAGGTGGTGAGGAAGATCACCCACCACATCCGAGGAGACAGTATGTTGGGGATTTGCCGGTCTGGGGCAAAGATCCCCAACAGTGGCTTGTGGTCGGTTACTAAGAAAAAATTTCTTCCAAACAAAAAGTCATGAAATTTCTTGACTGCAAAAACTAGCGCCAGACCCTCTTTATCAATTTGTGCATAGTTTTTCTCCGCTACAGATATTTATTTATTTATTTAATTTTATTTATACCCCGCCCTCCCCGCATTGCGGGCTCAGGGCGGCTTACAAGAGTATGGCACACAGTGCGATAAAACAGCGATAAAACAATATAAAACACTTAATACATGGGCCAAGCCCAAGGATCCCACGTAACTAAAAACCTGCCATCCGGCATTAAGTGGCTGAGGACTGCCCCCACCCCGAACGGAGATGCATCTGCCACCAGCACTAGCAGTTTCTGTTCATCATAGTGCGTGAGGACAGCGTTCAACGATAATAGGGCTTTGACTCCCTTGAAAGCCCGCTCGTGTTCCGAGCCCCACCTCCATTTTGCGTCCTTGTGGAGGAGCGCGTGTAAAGGAGCTGCCACTGACGCTTTGTGTAGCAAGAAAGCATGGTAGAAATTTAACAGTCCTAAAAAGGACTGGAGCTCTTTTTTGTTGAGGGGTCGTGGGGCATACTTAATTGCTGCCACTTGGTCCTCTGTGGGGTGGACACCACTTTCATCTACCCGAAATCCCAAAAACTCCACACCTGGGACTCCCACAAGACACTTAGGCTGCTTTACTTTGAGGCCAGCAGACTTGAAACGCTCAAACACTGTTCTCACCCGTTCCATGAGCTCCTGGTCAGACCCCCCTGCAATCAGCACATCATCGAAATATGGTACCGTGCCTGGCACCCCTCTAAGCAAACCTTCCATAAGTCCCTGGAAGATCCCTGGGGCAACATTTACCCTGAACTGGAGTCTATTGACCCTGAATGCTCCTCTGTGGGTAACGATGGATAGGCTTCCGCTGCCTCCCTAGTCACTGGCAGCTGCTGGTACGCTTGCGCTAAGTCAAGCTTTGCAAATACCTTCCCTCCCCCCAGTGCACTTATAGTCAGCGCAAATCCTTACAGACCCATCTGACTACCAGCGTCACTATTGGAGTTTTCCATTTGCTAAAGGGAATCGGCTCAAGCACCCCCTGCTCGATTAGCTTGTCCAGCTCTGCTTCGATCCGGGGTTTGAGCGAAATGGGCACCTTCCGATACTTTAATCAGATCGGGGTCACGGAAGGATCAAGTTGGACCGTCTAGATGGAGGGTGACGTGGATCTTCCCTTGACCGCCGGTGTGAAGGACGGTCGATGCGAACGACAGGCTCGTTGTCATCTGACAGCTGGCTTCTCTGATGGCTGCTTGTGATTGCTGGTTCCTCGGTGGGGATGCTGGCGCTGATTTCTTTGGCGCTCTGCAGACTCATGCTAGATGGCCCCGCCTTCCACACGCTCGACACACGATGTCTTTGAGCCAACAGTGCTCTCAAGGGTGGTTCCCGCCACAACCGGCACACACTGGGCTGGCTGCAGGCTTCACTCGGGTCCGCTTGTCTGCTCCTGCTTTAACTGCGCATACGTCCTCATCTGCGTCACCACCCTCATTGCCGGAAGCTTGGTGGTGGACACGCTGTTCTGTTGACGCCAACCACTGCCGTGCCTCTTTGGTTGACTTGTCGGCTGCCTCCGCGGCGACGGCCTCAGTGTAGGTGACAGCCCAAAGTCAGGGTGGTGCAGGCGAACAACCGCTGTTGCAGCCTTTCGTCCCTCATGCCGCACACCAGCTGGTCTCGGAGGGCCTTTTTGATGTTCGCAAAGTTGCAGGGTCTTGCAGCCTTACGCAACACCGCTACATACTCGGCCACCGACTCGTTAGCTGCCCGAGCTCTTTTATAGAAGGCATGCCGGCAGGCAATCTCTGATGGCTGAGGAGAGAAGTGCGCTTTCAACTTCTCTGTCAGGTCCTTGAACGAAACTGTTGTGATGTCCGCTGGTGCTACCAGCGACCGGGCAATGTCAAAAACGCTCTTGCTGCAAGAGCTCAGGAGGGTTGCCCGCTTCTTCTCTTCAGTTGCAATGTCGTTCGCCTGGAGGTGGAACTCGAACTGCGTCAGGTAAGCATCCCAGTCCTCGGTGGTAGGTTCGAATGCCTCGAACTTCTGGCTATTGGCCATCCTGACAGGCGCTTCCACCAGATCTGGTGGTGCCTGCTGCTGATTGGCAACAGCGCGATGCTCGCTGTTGTCCGTCGTGGGATAGTTTAGCGGGGCTGCCTACCCACACTAATATCTCATCCTCGTTGCCAATTACCTCGCTGGCTTAACAAAATAGTCAGAGAGTGATTCAGCAAAGATTCAACTTTATTCAGCAACTCAAACACAACTCCAACAGGGATCAACACCTGATAGCCAGAACAGCTTTTACATTGCAGCTGTCCTGCTTTTAAACTCTCCTGGCTAATGTAGCCACACCTACTGTACAATTACCAACCAATACGGTTGTATGTATAATGACCAATCACAGAGTCCCGCTCAGGAAGCTTGCTGACAAGTGATTGGTTGGTTCTTCCTGGGCTCTCAATGCGATTGGATGGATTTGGATCCTAGCCCAGGACAAAGCTTAACATGACATTTCAATTAGATGTTTTCATCACACATTATGCATTCAATGGCAGCTTATTGAATACATTACAGGGGGGGAGAGTGGTTCCTCCAGGGTATTTCAATGGAGCCCATGGCAGTCAAGCATTCCTGGATCCTGTCCTTCCTTTTAGTACATCCCCTGAATGCCCTCCTTCTAATACCAGGTGCTGAGTGAGAAGCATGCTTAGTGGCTGAGATGAGTACTTGTCACATTTTGGTTTCCCATTTTCAGTACAGAAGACTTTCATAAATCTGAAAAGAAACTGAGTTCCACGTAGAGCAAACAGACAAAAGTCTATGACCCGAAGGGGAGGTAGCGCGCCAGAACATTTGCTTATGACTTTGTCCTGACCAGGTTATGGTTGGCCGGCTGGGGGGCTGAATTTGAGGGACTTTCCCATTTTTTGGCGGGTCCACTTGCTAAAAAAACCCTGCGTTTGTCAGCGCCAGAAAAAGAGGCTTTTTTTGGGGGGGTGGCTACTGACCAGTTGAGGAAGGTATCGGGAGCATCCCACCCCCCCTTTCGGAACTGGTCGCGAAGAAACGGTTTGTGCGATGGGGGTGGGTAGAGCGCGCCTCTTCGCCACAGAACTGGCGTTGAGGTAACGCCGGAAAACGGGCGCTGCACTGTCTCGTGACTCGCTGATTCGCTGGCGCTCAGACAGAGAGAGAGGCGGTGTCGCGGGCGCGCCCACCCCCTTTGCGCGGTGACGTCGCAGGTCTTCCCCTCCCTCCTTCCACCGCTGCCTCCTCCTCAGAGACGGTGACCGCCGCCGCCGCCGCTCCTGCTGCCCCCTCTGTGCCGTTTCCTCCTCCTTCGCCGCAGCGGCGATGTGACTCTCCTCTCCTGGCTCGGCCCGCCCCAGCTGTGCGGCGAACATGGCGGAGGTGAGGGAGAGCCGCGGGCGGCGATGGGGCGGGGAGGGAGGGGGGAGGAGGAGGCCGAGGGGAGAAGGGGGAGTCGAGTCCGGGCCCGGCAGGGAACTTGTTGCACCGCCGCTGCCTGCCTGCCTGCCTGCCTGGTTGCTTTCGCTTCCCATAAGTTAGTTGCCGGGGGCGGGAGTAAGGTCCCAGGACGGGCCTGGCGTGTGACGTCTGGCGCTGGGTAGCCGGGCGGTTTCTGGAGGGCTCACCGGCCTCCTGGGACTTGGGCAGATGGAGGGCGACCCTGCGAGAGGAGGAAAGATTGGCTTCTTTCTTGGGGGGAGGGGGAGGACAGGGCTGGCCTTTTGCTGTTTGGGACAGTGAGGATTTACCCAAGTTGTCGCCTTCTTTCTTTCTTAGGATGCGAGTGGGAAATACCCCAAGTGTGAAAGAAGGAAGGGCTGTTATTTCTGAAATTTGCAAGCTTTACTTTTGTTGGCATGAGGGAAAAGTGGGTTGACGGGGGCATATTAATAGTGCTGGAGTATGCTGATCCTATTCCCGTTCCCAGCCCGTTTTTCCATCGTCCAAGGTTTAGGATGGTCAAGGGTGTTCGTTTGGGTCTGAAACTCTTGCCTCTGTTAGAGAAAGTGGCAATGTGTGTTTGGGGCCAGCTGAGTTCTTTCAATGTTGATTCTTCTAAACATATTCTAAAGTTAAGTGCTAGGTCTAGGCTGGAATACTGTTTGTCTTAAATGTTAATTTATTAGATCAATATTGTCTCAACCAAAGGAACTAAAAGTGTTGTTTCACCTTCACAACAGTGTTGTGGGGTAGGTTAGGCTCAGAGGTACAGTTCTCCCAGTCCACCCAGTATCAGGGAGCTAAGATTTGAATGTTGATGTCCCACATCGATCAGTAGTCTACCCATTACCTTCTGCTGGCTATTAAGGGATTGCTTTGGCAAGGATTCCACACACACACACCCCTTTGAAAGTAAAGCCGATATTGGGGGGATTGCAGTAAAACCATTCTTTGGAATACAAATGTCTCAAGTTTTTTGGTTTAGGGAATAATTCCATAAAAGAGGCTTGTAGTTCCTCACCTGAGGCCAGCTGCTTGGACTGTGATGCAGCTTCCACTATGTACCCCCCCCCCCAAAAAAAAAGTGGCATGGGTGTCTCACATAAAGTCCTGTATGCACAGTGACCTGATCTATGAGAATTCAACCAGCTTTCTTTTTTGAATAGAGGCTGAGCAGATCAGTGTGTGTGTGTGTGTGTGTGTGTGTGTGTGTGTGGACCATCACAAGAAATACTCCTGCTGCACTCTTCTTCAAGTGTGTGATAAAGAGAAGGAGCACACACTTAATCCGAAACAACGTTGCCTACCAAATAAATTACTGAAGCAGGCCCTGGCCTGATGCACTAATAAT